TAGTAGTAGTAGTAGTAGTAGTAGTAGTAGTAGTAGTAGTAGTAGTAGTAGTCATAGTAGTAGTAGTAGTAGTAGAAGTAGTAGTAGTAGTAGTAGTAGTGGTAGTAGTAGTAGTAGTAGTAGTAGTAGTAGTAGTAGTAGTAGTAGTAGTAGTAGTAGTAGTAGTAGTAGTAGTATTAGTAGTAGTAGTAGTAGTAGTAGTAGTAGTAGTAGTAGTAGTAGTAGTAGTAGTAGTAGTAGTAGTAGTAGTAGTAGTAGTAGTAGTAGTAGGTGCCGGGTTGAGCATCACCTCCGGGCGGAACCCTGACGTCACCTCCGTGCTACAGGCTGTATGATGTGGTACGAAGCCGGCATTCAGCGGGCGCGCATTTCTAAACGTCACAGCCCAGCGGGGCTTCTTGCCGGAGCTCTCGTCGCAGCGTCCTCCCCTTGCCCCTCTCCAGGAGCCCATCGAGAAGGAAGCCAGAGGAATCCTCAAGGAATCGAGGAAGGTTCTTGGAACCCTTAGTGGGGCTGTGGAATCCTGCGGAATGTCGAAGCGTCCTGGGGATTGTAGAGGACTTCCGAGGAAGCATGCGGAATCCAAGCGAATCTTGTGGGAGTCCTGTGGGGATCCTAAGGAGTGTGATGCTGAGGGGATGGGAGGAGTCCTTGCGTAATATGAGAATTCCGGAGGGATCCTGAGGTTTCTGGTGGGAACCTGAGGATTCCACAGTTTCATGCAAAATTTCCCGTCGTGTTTTTACCTAGCAGCGAAGACGGATAGTTTTCTAGTAAGGTCAAAAGAGAGCATCATGACACCCCTAGGGGGTCTGGGCGGCATCCGGACAGGGATCCGCGGAAGTCGTTTTAAGCAAACAGTTGCACACTTCGTGTTCTTCGAGTTCCCAGAACTCCACTCCCGGGCCACATTCTGAATGCCCAGAGCCAACTGTAGGCCAGTTCGTGTTCTTCGAGTTCCCAGAACTCCACTCCCGAGCCACATTCTGAATGCCCAGAGCCAACTGTAGGCCACTTCGTGCTCTTCGAGTTCTCAGAACTCCATTACCGGGCCACATTTTGGATGCCCGGAGCCAACTGTAAGCCCTTTCGTGGTCTACGAGTTCCCAGAACTCCATTCCTGGGCATGATTTTGAATGTCCAGAGCCAACTGTAGGCGACTTCGTGTTCTTCGAGTTCCCAGAATTCCATTCCCGGGCCACAGTTTAAATGCTGAGGCAGGCTGATGCTGAAGCTGAGGCAGGCTAAGGCTGAGGCAGGCTGAGGCTGAGGCCGAGGCTGCAGGCAGACTGAGGCCGAGGCTGAAGGCAGACTGATGCTGAGGCTGAAGCAGGCTGAGGCTGAGGCTGAGGCAGGCTGATGCTGAGGCAGGCTGAGGCTGAGGCTGAGGCTGAGGCTGATGCTGAGGCTGACTGAGCAGGTGGAGCGCTGAGGCTGAGGCTGACGGCTTAGAGCTGCGGCTGAGGCTGAGGCAGGCTGAGGCTGCTGAGGCTGAAGGCTGAGGCTGGGCAGGCTGATGGCTGAGGCCGAGGCTGAGCAGACTGAGGCTGAGGCTGAAGCAGCTGAGGCTGAGGCTGAGGCAGGCTGAGGCTGAGGCTGAGCAGGCTGATGCTGAGGCAGGCTGAGGCTGAGGCTGAGGCTGATGCAGGCTGAGGCTGAGCAGGCTGAGGCTGAGGCCGAGGCTGAAGGCAGACTGAGGCTGAGGCTGAAGCAGGCTGAGGTTGAGGCTGAGGCTGAGGCAGGCAGGCTGAGGCTGAGGCTGAGGCTGAGTCTGAGGCTGAGGCAGGCTGAGGCTGAGGCCGAGGCTGAGGCTGAGGCTGAGGCAGGCTGAGGCTGAGGCCGAGGCTGAAGGCAGACTGAGGCTGAGGCTGAAGCAGGAGTCTGAGGCTGAGGCAGGCTGAGGCTGAGGCTGAAGGCAGGCTGATGCTGAGGCAGGCTGAGGCTGAGGCTGAGGCTGATGCAGGCTGAGGCTGAGGCAGGCTGAGGCTGAGGCCGAGGCTGAAGGCAGACTGAGGCTGAGGCTGAAGCAGGCTGAGGCTGAGGCTGAGGCAGGCTGAGGCTGAGGCTGAGGCAGGCTGATGCTGAGGCAGGCTGAGGCTGAGGCTGAGGCTGAGGCTAAGGCAGGCTCAGGCTGAGGCAGGCTGAGGCTGAGGCCGAGGCTGCAAGGCAGGCTGGGCTGAAGCGGCTGAGGCTGAGGCTGAGGCAGGCTGAGGCTGGGCTGAGCTGAGGGCAGGCGATGCTGAGGCCGGCTGCGGCTGAGGCTGAGGCTGATGCAGGCTGCGGCTGAGGCAGGCTGGGCTGAGGCTAGTCTGAAGGCGACTGATGCTGGGGCTGAAGCAGGCTGCGTGAGGCTGAGGCAGGCTGAGGCTGAGCGCTGAGGCTGAGGCTGACAGGCTGAGGCTGAGCTGTGCTGCGACTGCCGTTGCCACTGTGACTGTCATCGCGAATGCGACTACGACTGCGAGAACAGCAGAATTCTACAACTGGATTCTCATCTGAATCTTAAGGGGAATGCTTCCAGATATGCTCCTACACATCGCTGTTAAGTTGCTTTGCCGGTATAATTTGTGCACGACGCGAGGGGGTTTGCGCATCAGGACAGGGACCCGACGGTGGCGCCGACAGGAGGAGGAGGCAGAAGACTGAGAGGAGGAGGAGGAGTTTAGGAGGAGAGAGAGGAGAAGGAGAAGGAGGAGGAAGGAGGAGAGGATTATGAGGAGGAGGAGGAGGAACGAGACGAGGAGGAGGAGGCGGAGGAGGCGGAGCGAGGCGGAGCGGAGAGGAGTAGGGGGGTAGAGAGGAGGAGGAGGAGGAGGAGGAGGAGGAGGAGGAGGTGGAGGGGGAGTTGTGTGAGACAGCTCGCGTCTCTGTTAATCCACAGCCGCCGCCCCAGCTGAGCCCCGCAGCGGCAGGCCCCGGGCCTCCCACGGGCTCGTCGGAGGTCCCGAGGCGGCGTGGTGGCCGCACCTTCGGGCATCCCAGGACTCACAGCGCGGCCCGGGGGAGGGGGGGCTCGGGAGGGAGCGTTTTGCGCTTCCGAGGCCACGGATTTTCGGACGCTGGCGCCAACTCTCGGGCAGCACTGCCAGCCTCCAGCAGCCGCGCCTCGCCGAGGGCGATTTCCAGGAGTGCGGGGATCGCCCCGAACGGCCGCCGGAGGGCCGATGTGTGACCCGAGAGCCAGGGAGCCGCGCCGGAGGCAGCAGCCCCCCGGGATCTGGGCGTTGCAGTTTTTCCACGCCAGGCGCTCTCGCCCGGCTTCGGGCCCCAGGACTAAGAGCTCAATCGGGCCAGAGGCACGCCGCAGAAGGACGCGGTCCAGGGCTCTAGTCGTGCTTTTCGCGGTGTTGATTTTTTGGCAGCGTCGTATCTCAGGGAGCGGCCCCAAGATGATCCGTAAGATGGTCCAAGAGGACCAAGAGTCGCCAGCAGGTCGATCCAGGCCGTCCAATTCCGAGAGGCTCTACAAGATAGCCCCAAGTGTCAAAATTCTTTGGTTTTTGTTGGGTTTTGAAGGGTATTCGGGTTCCCATGTTTTCGGCTTCCCGAAGCTTCAAGACAGCCCAAGAGGTCCCAAACATCGCCCCAAGACGGCCTAAGAGGCCCCCAAGAGAGCGCCCAGACAGTCCAAGACGCCCTCAAGACTGCCCAAGAGGCCTCCAAGACGGCCTCCGAAGGCACCAGTAACGCCCCAAGAAGACCTCCAGAGGAGAGCCAGGGATCAACATTTCAGACTCTCCGCTTAAAAGACCCCAGGAGGCCCCAAGAGGCCCCCAGGAGGCCCCCAGGAGGCCCCCAGGACCGCGTCCAGACGGCAAAGGGAGCTCCCAGGACGCCTCGGGAGGCCTCTGAGAGGTCCTCAAAGAGAGCCCCAAGTGTCAAAATCATTGTTTTCGGTTGGTGTTTGAAGATTTTTCGGGTTCCCGCGTTCTCGGCTTCCCGACGCTCCAGGACAGCCCAGGAGGTCCCAAAGATCCCAAGACGGTCTAAGAGGCCCCCAAGAGAGCGCCATAACAGTCAAATACGCCCTCAAGACGGCCCAAGAGGCCTCCAAGACGGCCTCCATAGGCTTCAGGAGCGCTCCAAGAAGACCTCAAGAGGGGGGGCAGTTACCGACATTCTAGGCTCTCCGCCCCCCAAAAAAAACAGGAGGCTTCTAGAGGCCCCAAGGAGGCCCCCAAGATCGCGCCCAGACGGCCCAGGGAGTTCCCAGGACGCCTCGGGAGGCCCCCCAAAAGAGCCCCAAGAGTCAAAAATCATTGACTTTCCTGAGGTCTTTCAAGGTTTTTAGCAAGAGGCCCTACACATCACCCCAACACGGCCGACGAGCCGCCCCCAAGAGAGCGCACAGACGGCCCAAGACGCCTCCAAGACTGCCCAAGAGGCCTCCAAGACGGCTTAAGAAAGCTCCGGAAACGCCCCAAGAGGGGCCCCAGAGGGGGAGCACGGACCAGCATTTTGGGTTCTCCGTCCAAAAACGCGCCAGGAGGCCTCAAGAGGCCCCAAGAAGCTTCCAAGAGGTCCCCAGGAAGCCCCCAGAGACCCCCAAGAGGGCCCCAAGATTGCTTACGACGGCCCCGAGATAATCGTCGGAGACGCCCCAGGCCCTGAAGGCTCAGGGCTCCAAGATGGTCGGAGACGCCCCGACAAAGTGGCACGGCGTTGAACGGACAGCACGGGAACCAGCATAATGCGCATTGAAGCGGCACGGTGTCAAAAGGACAGCACGGGAATCAGCATTATGCACCCTGTAGGCATCCTCTTCTTCGTTTTCCTCTTCCTCGCAAGTCATGCCCACTTGTCCTCCAAGGTCGGGGTTCGTGGCTACAGCAGGTTGGCAGTGTTCGGCCTCTGGGGACCCGGGCCCGAGACAGTGAACAGACGGCTCGGGATGAAAACCCGGTCCGGAAAGGGGGCCAGAGCGCCGGAAAGCCAAAAAGCCAGACATGCGGAAAACAAAACCCAGAGAAAATCAATGGGGGGGCCTGTTGCAGCCCTCTCGGGGCGTTTTCGGGGCGTCTTGGGCCATCTGCTTGAATGCATTGGGCGTTGTTCCACAACTTGCAGAACTTATAATCACTAACTCAAAACAGACGCCCGATCCCAAAAACGCGGGGGCCAAGACAACACGCAGACACCTCGAGACATCTGGGAGGGAGAGTTTGGGGTAGGGTCTTACCAGGGTGGCGACGACGAGCGCAAAACATGCCCCGAAATCTCTGGCCGACCTTCGAGTCCTCAGCGAATCCGCGATTTTGGGATTGGGGATTTTTTTCTCGGAGACTGGAACATATACTTTACCAGTGGCGGGTTGTTTTTTCAATCCCACGACTTTTTGAGGGTCGGGGACGACGTCGGGGTGGTGTGGTGTATACCTTTCCCCCGCTTCCCCGGGGAGACCACGCAGCATGTACACACCAGGATCCCGTGTACACCAGGATCCGCGCTCTTGTGCGAACCTCAGCGCAGGGTCGGAAAAAAGCGTCGGTGTATAGAGTTCGTTCCCTTAGTTTTTCGTGGCCATCATATACCTCTGGGGGGAGCCGCGCTGTGCTCAGAAGCCCTTCGTCGGATGTCTGGGCTCGAGGCGGCTGCACGGACTCGGGACGCGGGCCGTGCTCCGAGGCTGTCTCGGGCCAGCCCCCCCCCGAGGTCCCAAGGCCGTTTGGCGACGGCCCGCTGCGGGGAGAGGCCTTTTTGGTCCGCCACAAAAAGACAGGAGGGAACAAAAACACACAGGCACAATTCATCGTCGATTCCCTCGAACATGTGGGAAAATATGGGAAGGGGGGGGAAAGACAAAAACCCAAAACACATGGGAAATGGTGGGGAATCCTGTCATTTGTATGTATTTACTTGTGTGTCCCAGGGCCCCTTCAAAAAAGACATGCACAGACACCCTCCAATCGATGCCTCCTGGGCCTCAGGAGAGGGTGACGGCGTATAACATCGCTGCGACGGTGTATACGTCACCATTGGGGGCCAGCGATTTTATACACCGCCGCCCTCCCGGAAGGCACGCGTAAAATTACTCGGAGGGTGTCTGTGTACAGTGGAGACCCATGCCAAGACATTTTCTTATTTGTTGTTCTCTTCCTCGCAAGTCACACCCACTTGTCCTCCAAGGTCGGGGTTGATGGCTACATCAGGCTTTTCAAGCCGGGCGTTTTCGCGCAATTTCGGGCCCCGGGACCCTCACGTAGCGATCCGGCTCGAGAGATGACGCAGGAAGATGGGGCCCGGAGCTCCACTGGTGATTGCTTGCGACGTTGCATTTTTGTTGTTGATTGTTTTTTGTTTTGTTTTTTTGTTTTGTTTTTTTTGTTTTTTGTCTTCATCGAAACATGTTTTTTTGTTGCAACGTCGGATCTCAGGGAATCGCGTATCCGCAGGATCGCGCCCCGGAGTCCAGACCTCGAGGGCGCGGATACGGATATGCTCGCCGATTGTGAGAGCTTCCCCCTTCAAGGCCACTGCGGCGCCGTAGCCCCCGGTCCCATCGGGGAAGACTAGTAATGCCAATATGCCTGAAGCTACCGCGTCTGCTCGCCTTGAGCCAGCTAGCACACGTGCGACCTCGAATGGATCTCGAAGAAGAAACAACCTCAAAGACATAAACTGTCGGACCTCCGCGCGGATTTCGTGGATCTGTGCTGGGCCCCCCTGGCGGCGCCTCTGGCGCCTCCCTTGGCGCGCTTCGCGCACCAGGACAGTTTATGTTGTTCAGCATTTTTAGCCACCACCCACCAAACCACCCCAACCCAACCCTGAGACCCCAGTTTGCCCTCCATTCCCAGTGGAGGGGGGGGGGCGTCGGGGAACATAGAAAAAGCCATGTGGAACCCGTACCTCCCCAGCCCGAAATCTGGGACTTCGAGTTGGGTGGGGGTGGTCTGGTCGGTAGTCGTTTATTCCTCCAGGATCCTCGTGGGCGTGCCCTCCAAACCTCGACACAATGTGCATTGTACTTCTCGCATCATATACTTCGGCACTGCGATTGTACACCCTCTCACGCTGGTGTAGCTTCCATTGCACTTGTCTGTACATGGTCTCGGGAGCCAGAATCAGTAATTACCCTGGGGCGTGTCAGCATGCGTCGTGCCGAAGAGGCGTCATGATTGCAACACTGGCACTCGTTGCAGAGTGTGAGCTTTCGAGGCCCCTCGCGTGCTAGAGTCACGCCTGCGGAGCCATGGCCCAGTCTTGTGGTGTAATTGTCCACGACAGGGTTAATGGGCCAGGATTTGCTTCTTGTTGCAGAAGTGAAACAGCTCATCCTTCTCGTCCTCATCGACGTCCCCTCCATCATCATGCTATGATCCCGCTGCTGATCCTGGTCCTCCTCCCGTCCTTGCATTGCCGCAGCCTTTCTTGGCTCGTGCTCCAGGCTGGCAGGCGTGCTTGGCACCTTGGCGCCCACCTCTTTCGCGAGCTCGCCGCTCGTGCCCCGTGGCCTTGACGCCGCTCTCCACGTCGGGAAACGAACTTTTGCTGCTGGTGATGTGTTGCGTCATTGTTCGGCCTCGCATGTCCTTGAACTCAATGGAGGCGTTGTTGTATGTCCTCGAGATTCCATCCTTCGAAGGATTTGCTCGGTGATTTGGGCTGCTCGGTGATGTCATGGCTGGGTGGTTTGCGGTCTGCGACCCACGGCAGCCTTGTCTGTTCTCGAAATTACCTCCTTAGAGTGCTTTAGCGTGCGCTGGCATCTGCGATGAGGTGCCGACCCATTCGGTCAGCGAAGATTTAGCGTCGACTAGCGTCGATTAGCTTCGATTAGTGTCGATAAGCGCCGATTCGCAAGGGCCAGCAAGATGACATGGGAGGATGACTGCCAGGGAAATATGTCTGTTGGGTCGCTACTTCGGCCTGGGCGGTGCAGAGCTGTGTAACGCAGCATCGAATTCCACCCCTCTCGATTGGGGTTGCGTGTCTGCTTCGCGATCTCTTCTTGCCTGGCCCGTGGTGCGAACGGCGCGCGCGCGAGCCAGCAGGGCCACCATCGAGAAGCACGCGGACGCTGCGACGAGGGGAGCACGCCGGCAAACGACCCTGCCCGCCGAGCTGCTGCCGCGAGGCTGTGGAGCGCGATGCGTGGCACGCCGCTGCCGTCGAAGGAAAGATGCACACATGTGCTCATCGTCACTGTCGTCGTCGCCGTCGTCGTCGTCGTCGTCGACGTCGTCGTCCTCGTCGTCGTCCTCGTCGTCGTCGTCGTCGACGTCGTCGTCGTCGTCGACGTCGTCGTCGTCGTCGTCCTCGTCGTCGTCCTCGTCGTCGTCGTCGTCGTCGTCGTCCTCGTCGTCGACAGCGGGGCTCGCCCGGCTCTGCTGCATCGGCACTTTTGCCCCCTCTCCGGCGCGCGGAGCGCGCCAGCGGTGGCGCCGGAGGCGCTGCGCCAGGGGTGCTCAGCGGCCAGCGCCGCTCAGAGAATCGGGCCGGGCGAAAGGGGGGGATAGGGAAAGGGGGGGGTACGAAATTTGCTGCATGCAGCTGGTTTCGGCCCCACCGAGGGGCCCATTCCTCGATACACAGTCGCCTCCGGCGCCGGGAGGCGCCGGGAAAATCAGCTACGTGAGCTGATTCTCAAACCCCTCCTTTGCTATCCCCCCCTTTCGCCCGACCCGAGAGAAGTCCGCGGGCCTCCGAGAATTTCCACCGGAGTGACGCTGCAGCTCCTCGGCACTGCTCGGACGTGCGCAGGCTTTCCTCTGCGGGCCAGGGCTGGCGCCGCGATCCTGGAGAATGTTTGGAATTTCTGGGACATCTGGAGCTTGGAAAGTCTTGGACTTTTCTGGGTTCCCTGTTTTTTCCCCATATCCAAAGATGGGGTTCTTGTTATTGGCGGACCGCGCCGGAAGGACACAGAACAGGACAGAACACCACACCCATCACTCAGACACACACGTAAGTTATTCCCCATATCCTAAGATGGGGTTCTTGATTCCCCATATCCAAAGATGGGGTTTTTGATTCCCCACTCACTCATCACTCAGACTCACTCATCAAGACTCACTCAATCACTCAGACTCAGTCCTCACTCAGACACACCACTCATCACTCAGACTCACCACTCAGATTCACTCATCACTCAGACTCACTCATGCTCTCTCATCACTCAGACTCAGTCATCACTCAGACTCAGGCGATTCGCTCGTCTCAGCACTCTAAGGGGGGCGGCGGGGGGGTATTTCACGGGGTCCCGTTCGCGGAATTTTGTGGGGATGTCTCAGGCGGTTTGCCTGTTTCTGTCCCAACATCCTTCGCTTTCGGAGCAGATTTGGAGGATGTCTCGAGCGAGGCGCTCATTTCAGCACCCCTAAGGGGAGCCGCCAGGGGTGTTTGCACGGGCTCGTTCGCGGCCATTTTGTGGGGATGTCTCAGGCGGTTTGCCTGTTTCTGGGCCCAACATCCTTCGCTTTCGGAGCAGATTTGGAGGATGTCTCGAGCGAGGCGCTCATTTCAGCACCCCTAAGGGGAGCCGCCAGGGGTGTTTGCACGGGCTCGTTCGCGGCCATTTTGTGGGGATGTCTCAGGCGGTTTGCTTGTTTCTGGGCCCAACATCCTTCGCTTTCGGAACAGATTTGGAGGATGTCTCGAGCGAGACGCTCATTTTCACCCCCCAGGTGGGCCAGATTTTGAGGATGTCTCGATCGGTTTGCTTGTTTTGGTGGCCAGGCTCGTGGGCGCAGATTCTTCTCAGGATGCCACAGGAGGCCCCAACAGGCTCCAGGAGGCCCCAGGAGACCAGATGAGGTCCCAGGAGGCATCAGGAGGCCACAGAAAGACTCAAGAGGCCACAGGATGTCCCAAGAGGCTCCAGGAGGCCCCAGGAAGCTCCAGAAGGCCTCAGGAAACCACAGGAGGCCCCATGAGGCAACAGGAAGCGCCAGGAGGCCTCGGAAGGCAACAGGAGGCCCCGAGAGGCCCCAGGAGCAGGAGGCCTCAGAAGGCAACAGGAGTGGCTCCAATCCCATGTGTTTTACGTATGCTCCTATCGATTGGGCCTCACCTGGAGCACGATTATTTGATGTTCTACGTATGTTTCTATAGATGGTCCTTCCCCTGTGTACACAATCCTAAATGTTTTACTCATGTTCCTATGTATTGGGCCTCTCCTGGGGCACGAGTCCTTGGTGGTTTACGCGTGTTCCTATAGATTGCCCTTCTCCTGTGGCTCTAATCCGCACTGTTTTATGTACGTCTGTTGCTATAGATTGCGCCTCTCCTGGGGCACGAAACCTTCCTAGGAGGTCCCAGGAGGTCCCAAGAGGCTCCTGGAGACCCCAGGAAGCCCCAGTAAGTTTCAGGAGGCCCCAGGAGGCCCCAGGCTCATGCACAGAGACGCGCTCGTACTACTGAGGCTCATTCACACTCCAATTCATTCGCAGTTAGATTGATGTCCAGACCGTCACAACAGAAGCCCGTTAATATTCGAAAGCTCTTGCGCCTAGACATTCACGGCGGACAGTCTCATAATCCGAATAGATGCACGTTCTTTGTTTCCCCATCCAAAGGATGGGGTTTTCTTGTTATTCCCCGAAAAGGGGGGGGGGGGGGGGGGGGGGGGATTCTGATTTTATCCAAAATGGGTTCCGCCAAGTTCCCCATATCCAAAGATGGGGTTCTTGTTATTGGCGGACCGCGCCGGAAGGACACAGAACAGGACAGAACACCACACCCATCACTCAGACTCACCACTCAGATTCACTCATCACTCAGACTCACTCATGCTCTCTCATCACTCAGACTCAGTCATCACTCAGACTCAGGCGATTCGCCCGTCTCAGCAATCTAAGGGGGGCGGCGGGGGGGTATTTCACGGGGTCCCGTTCGCGGAATTTTGTGGGGATGTCTCAGGCGGTTTGGCCATTTTCTGATCCAACATGTTTCGTTTTCGGAGCAGATTTGGAGGATGTCTCAGGCGATTCGCTCGTCTCAGCACTCTAAGGGGGGCGGCGGGGGGGTATTTCACGGGGTCCCGTTCGCGGAATTTTGTGGGGATGTCTCAGGCGGTTTGCTTGTTTCTGGGCTCAACATCCTTCGCTTTCGGAGCAGATTTGGAGGACGTCTCGAGCGAGGCGCTCATTTTCACCCCCCAGGTGGGCCAGATTTTGAGGATGTCTCGATCGGTTTGCTTGTTTTGGTGGCCAGGCTCGTGGGCGCATATTCTTCTCTGGATGCCACAGGAGGCTCCAACAGGCTCCAGGAGGCCCCAGGAGACATCATGAGGTCCCAGGAGGCATCAGAAGGCAACAGAAAGACTCAAGAGGCCACAGGATGTCCCAAGAGGCTCCAGGAGGCCCCAGGAAGCTCCGGACGGCCTCAGGAAACCACAGGAGGCCCCACGAGGCAACAGGAGGCGCCAGGAGGCCTCGGAAGGCAACAGGAGGCCCCGAGAGGCCCCAGGAGCAGGAGGCTTCAGAAGGCAACAGGAGTGGCTCCAATCCCATGTGTTTTACGTATGCTCCTATCGATTGGGCCTCACCTGGAGCACGAGTCTTTTGATGTTTTACGTATGTTTCTATAGATTGTCCTTCTCCAGTGTACACAATCCTACATATTTTACTAATGTTCCTATATATATATATATATATATATATATATTGGGCCTCTCCTGGGGCACGAGTCCTTTGTGTGTTGACGCGTGTTCCTATAGATTGCCCTTCTCCTGTGGCACGAATCCGCAATGGTTTATGTACGTCTGTTGCTATATATTGCGCCTCTCCTGGGGCACGAAACCTTCCCAGGAGGTCCCAGGAGGCCCCAAGAGGCTCCTGGAGACCCCAGGAAGCCCCAGTAGGTTTCAGGAGGCCCCAGGAGGCCCGAGGCTCATGCACAAAGACGCGCTTGTACTACTGAGGCTCATTCACACTCCAATTCATTCGCAGTTAGATTTTTGTCCTGACCGTCACAACTGAAGCCCGTGTATATTCGAAAGCTCTTGCGCCTAGACATTCACGGCGGACAGGTCCATGCGAATAGATGCACTTCTTGTTCCCCATATCCAAAGATGGGGTTCTTGTTCCCCATATCCAAAGATTTATTCCCCATATCCAAAGATGGGGTTCTTGTTATTCCCCATATCCAAAGATGGGGTTCTTGTTATTGGCGGACCGCGCCGGAAGGACACAGAACAGGACAGAACACCACACCCATCACACGAGACTCATTCACTCAGACTCAAGCCCAACTCACATCACTTCATCACTCAGACACACACGTAAGTTATTCCCCATATCCTAAGATGGGGTTCTTGATTCCCCATATCACTCAGACTCAGTCATCACTCAGACTCAGGCGATTCGCTCGTCTCAGCAATCTAAGGGGGGCGGCGGGGGGGTATTTCACGGGGTCCCGTTCGCGGAATTTTGTGGGGATGTCTCAGATTGTGGGGATGTCTCAGGCGGTTTGGCCATTTTCTGATCCAACATGTGTCGTTTTCGGAGCAGATTTGGAGGATGTCTCAGGCGATTCGCTCGTCTCAGCACTCTAAGGAGGGCGGCGGGGGGGTATTTCACAGGGTCCCGTTCGCGGAATTTTGTGGGGATGTCTCGAGCGGTTTGCCTGTTTTCTGTCCCAGCATCCTTCGCTTTCGGAGCATATTTGGAGGATGTCTCGAGCGAGGCGCTCATTTTCACGTTCTTAAGGGGAGCGGCGGGGGGTATTGCACTCGGCCCCTTTCGCGGGATGTTGTGGGGATGTCTCGAGCGGTTTGCGTGTTTTCTGTGCCAGCATCCTTCGCTTTCGGAGCAGATTTGGAGGATGTCTCGAGCGAGGCGCTCATTTTCACGTTCCTAAGGGGAGCGGCGGGGGGGTATTGCACTCGGCCCCTTTCGCGGGATTTTGTGGGGATGTCTCGAGCGGTTTGCTTGTTTTCTGTGCCAGCATCCTTCGCTTTCGGAGCAGATTTGGAGGATGTCTCGAGCGAGGCGCTCATTTTCACCCCCCAGGTGGGCCAGATTTTGAGGATGTCTCGATCGGTTTGCTTGTTTTGGTGGCCAGGCTCGTGGGCGCATATTCTTTTCTGGATGCCACAGGAGGCTCCAACAGGCTCCAGGAGGCCCCAGGAGACAT